CGCCCTCCCCGCTCGCGCCCTCCCCGCTCGCGCCCTCCCCGCTCGCGCCCTCCCCGCTCGCGCCCTCCCCGCTCGCGCCCTCCCCGCTCGCGCCCCTGGGGCGGAGTCACGCACGCTGACCGGCGCCCGCGCGCTCCCGGAAGCCGACACCTCCCGGCGGCGGCGGCGGCGGCGGCGCTGATTGCGCGATCATGGCAAGGCGGTCAGCGCGGGTTTTTCGGAGTTGCTTGTGTTGAGTTCCGGAGAAGGATGGCTGGGTCGAGTCAGCACCTGCGCGAACTGCAGGGACCCCTGCTCCCACCCAAGGACCTGGTGGAGGAGGACGATGACTTGCTAAGGGAGGACGTGGAGGAGGACGAGGACGCGGTGTTCGTGGACGCAGAGGAGCTCTGCAGTGGGGGCGTGAAGGCCGGCCGCCTCCCTGGGCGCCTCCGCGGTGAGGAAGCTCCCGCCCCACGGGGGGGATTGGGGGCTGAACCAGGAGTTTCCCATTCTGGCTTTGTCCTGAGCAAGGCGCCCTTCGAGATGGCCTAGCTGCTCCATCCTGCTTAGGATCAAGTAATAACAATGGCAGAGACTTGTTAAGCTTGCCCCTTACCTGTATCATCTCATCTTCATGTTCACAGTTCTTTGAGGTAGTTTTACAGCTGAGGAAACAGTCGAGCCTGTATTGCTACCCAGAATCAGGACTTCTAACTATTACCCTATACTGCCTGGAGTGCAATACATGATTATTCTTCGGCTTCTTAGGGGGGAAAAAACCCACAAGGTATACCTCCATGCATTGGTGATTCATTAACCTGTGTTAATAACCTTGTGGTTGATTTTAACCTTGTGTAGTTTCCTGTGCTGTAAATTATACCTGTTATGTGGACTTTGTGACTGATAATTAAGAATATTGTAATGTGCAGACCAGTGCTGTTCAGTAGAACTTTCTGTAACGATGGCAGTGTTTTATATCTGCACCGTCCAATACAATAGCCGCTAGCCACATGCGGCTATTTAGAACTTGAAATGCATCTAGTGTAACTGAAGAGCCGAATTTTAAGTTTTATTTCAATTTAATTTAAGTAGCCACATGTAGGTGTGTCACAGTCCTATTCGGTCCACAGCTGGACTTTAAAGTGTTGCCCCAGTTCCTGGGCTCTGGGCTTGGAAGAATCACAAGCCTTAGCCCATTCCATGGAGAGGGATGACGGACACTCAACAAATATATGTGAAGAATTTATTGTAAGGAAAGTTTAAGGATGGAAAGGGAAAGGAAAGTACATTTCCTAAGGGGGAATGGATCTGTCTCCACAAGTGGAGAGGACACTGTCTACTTCTAGGTTTTTCCTTTTATATGCTAGTAATTTAGGTAAAGGTTAGTTATAATTATTCATAACTATATGTCACTGTTTTGGGAACTGAATTCTTTCCAGGTATGGACATGGCTTAGAGATTATGTTCCAATCATTTTTTCTATTATATATATGATGGGGATAATTCCATAGCTGTTCTCTGATTGGTGGTCCATGTTCCGTGGCCTAATTACCCCATTCTTTAAGACTGAAATAACCATTCCCTCTTTATATTTTTCTGCAACCATTTCCTCTTTATTGTTTTTCTATAATTGCTTTCTCCTTTCTGTTTTTCTGATTTCCGTTACCTCTCACTTGTTTTTCTGTCCCTAACAGGAGGACAGTGTAGGTTTAGACAGAAAATTTTCAAGTATTTGTGAAGGGTTTAGTCATTCATTCTAAAGCATCATCAACGGGCTAGAATGTTTCAAGCAAGGTGTTTGGCACTGGGATGACCCAGAGAGATAAAATGACAAGGTTTGCTGTCTTAATGGAGCTTACCCTCTAGTGAATTAAACAGATATTCTTTAAATACTCAAGGAAGTAACTATAATATTACTTAGTGGTTAGAAGGAATAGTAAGTAGTGTGTTGAGATGTTATATTCATGAGATTCAAGGAAGACTTTCTTGAGGAAGTGAAAATTAAGCTGAGGTCTGTAGAAAATGTTGTAAACAGTAAGGAGGAGAATATTTAAGGAAAGTGAAACAACTTGGGCTTTTTTTTTTTTTTTAGAAACTGCATGAAGGCCAGTGTTGACTGAGGTCAGAATAGCAGAGAAGGGACTAGTTTTAGAAGAGGAACAACAGACATTTAACTTGTACTGTGCTTACCTTTTGAAATAGAAAGATAAATAAAACACTGTCCTGCTATAGAGAGCTTACAGTGTAGTAGAGGGAGACAGAAAAACAGGCAGGATAAAGTGTTATAGACACCCTAATAAATGTCTGTATAGGGTACTATGGAGAGAATTACAGACAGTGGCAAGTTTGATGAAACATTGGGGAAGAGGTTTTTAAATCTAAGTTAACTTTTTTTTTTTTAGTTTTAATTCCTGATGAAAACACTCAAGAACGATGTATTGTGTTTGGACGTTTTCCAATAACGGGTCCTTGGTGGCGAGTGAAGGTACAAGTAAAGCCTGTGGGATCGAGGTGCTATCAAGTTCAAGGATTTCCGTCTTATTTTTTACAGTCTGATATGTCGCCACCAGATCAAGAACAAACCTGTTCTGTCTTTCTTAAAGAGTGTGAGGTCCATGATGATGATCGCATTAAATTTTTAGCATGGGTAAATGAGGTGTCAAGCTATAATGACCTAAACTTTGAAAATCTTAGGGAAACATTAAGGACTTTTTATAAAGAAAAGAGAAGGAAAGATCAAAAACAATCTGCACAGAATGAACAGGAAGAGTTGCTACCAGATTGTGAGATGAGTCTTCTTATGGAAAACAAAAGTAAGTGTGATGTTTGTCATCGAGTTTTAGTATAATTGAGATACTTAATGACTAGAGTGTTTGAAATACTACCACTGTCATATTTTGGCATAGTATTCTTTTTTAAAATTAATTTGTTGAAAGCTGTGTTTATGTTGCTTTTGGAATTTGCCATTGACATTTCAGGTTTCTCATCTGTAACATGAGTGGATTGTGTGAGGTGACCTTTAAGATCCTGCCAGTTTCTTTCCAGCTCTAAAATTGTGACTCTCTCTCTTTAACTTTTGTGTTCATAGGGATTACTTTGAGTCATTAATAAAAAATTCAGTTGTTAATTATTTGTTTAAGGAGGCAGAGGAGAAAGACAAGGATACAAGTAATCCATTTTGGAAAGCTTTCAGTCCAAAATGGTTTCCAATAATTTTTTAATATGGCTTGTTATCTGGACATCCATATATGTATGTGTATATATATATATAATATTTCATTTCTTAGATGTATCAAATAAGTTTGGTGGTGCAACAGTTGACTTCAATGACAAAAAGAATCAAGATTACGGTTGGGAAAAATGAAAATAAAGGTCAATATGTAAATGATTTATTTTTTATCCTTAGCTTTAAATTTATCTTTATATAATTGAGTCAAAATTTTTATTCTGATTCTACTGCAAGCAACAGGAAACAAAAGGCTAAGAAGTAGTTATCTAAGCAGTTAAAGAACATAAATTTTGGTGGTAAACATAATGAAAACCATCTCAGTACAGAAGCAGTTGTCATAATATGATCAATTTTCTTACTGGTTAAAGCAAATTTATTGATCTCTTTTTGACTTGGATTTCTTGAACTGGTTGTGCTAAATGAGAAAGTCCTTCGAATCAGTCATTCTTTGGGCTCATTTGTATGTTTTACTTTGTTCTTTTTGTTCCTTTCTGGTATCCTATAGTTCCATTTATAAATGTAATGACAGCTTTAAAGTTTCCGAAAATAATGGAATTCCTTCCAATCCTGCTGCCTCGACACTTTAAATGGCTCATCGACTCAGCTTCTAAAGAGTTGTTGGCAAAGATAGAAGAAATTTTAGGTACGCATCCATGGAAACTTGGATTTAGTAAAGTAAGTAAGACATTTGCTCGGCATTTAGTAAGCTTGTGTAAGGCGGGATTTCTCAAGTTTGACAATTTTTGCATCTCTTTCAGTGGAAAAAAAATTTGTATGGACCCAGTGTTGATTTATTTTTCTTCGAGTGTTACAGCTAAACATTAATTCTTATGCCCATGGCTCTTTTGCA